GTGTATTAATTAGATTGAGTATTTGTGACAGCGTGTACGTCTTTCTTCTTCTAATATCTTCTTAGTCTTCTTTCATCCACACCTTCTCAACACTGTCTATTAATGGAGCTGCCACCCTGTTGTTATCGTGCAACCAGGATGCCACACCGCTCGACAAAGCCTTTCATGCCACATTACACCTATATGGAAACCTTGAAGCTTTTGTCAAACTGACGTTAATGTTTCGAGACTTTACTGATTAATTTAGAGACTTTGGTTGATACTCGGAACTAACAGCTGACGGAGACTTTTATTATTTTCGTAAAATGGATGCACAGCAGGAACAAGCGCCCATTGGACAAGGATGCCGCAGTTCACTCAGGGCCTCAGGTAAGCTATATATTTATATTTGTTACACTAGCATAAAGGTAAGAGGGCCTGCTGCCAAGCAGAACTGCCGGAGAAGAACATGTTGATCATCATTGTAGACTATGATGCCAATCAGAACTATGTGAAGCGTGACCTTGAGCTCTTCACCAAAGTTGTGTGCTCGCTGACACTGCTCGGCAAAGCGCATCTGCTGGGGAGCAGCGAAAACGATTTGGTCATATGGTCCTGCTCCAGCAATGCCGTGTAAGTCGATGAGATCGAGTGCGGTGCGACGGTCTAATGGCCAATCGTTTACAGTAATCCCATTTATCCCGAAAAGCTGATAGACCCGGAAAAGGAGAACGACTCCCAGCTGGAGGAGCTGCCCATTGTGGAGGATCTCACCAGGCTGCGGCTCTTCAATCTGATATCTCAGGAGATAGCCCGGTTGAAGTGCCAAGCCACGGAGGAGACCGAACAGACGGTGACTACTCTGCTGCCTGGTGCCGTAGGCGTGGTCCTGAGTTACCTTAATCGCTGTCGACGCGAGATCGCCAAAGTCGCGAACATCCGGGGTCGCATTCTGATTGTCAGCGGCTCCAAGGAGCCGTCGGTACCTTTGGCCACTATGCAAATGAATGTCTTTCATGCCGCTGCCAAAATGGGCGTGACCATTGATGTGTGCGCCCTGGAGCTGGAGTCGTCGTACATGCTGCGGCATGCAGCCGACATAACCGGCGGCTATTACTATTCGACCAGCAACTTTGACGCACTCTCCACGTTCCTGCTCGGCCTGTTCCTACCCTCGCCCCATGTGCGCCAGCATCTGAACTACCCGGTCCAGCCCCAGGCGGATCTGCGCGCAATGTGCTTCTGCCACAACAAGTTCGTCGAACTGGGATTCGTCTGCACCAGCTGCTTGGCGGGTGGGTAGTCTCCTTTGCAGCTTTAGCCTTACTCTGCTCATCTATGCCTGCTTTGACCATTTCAGTCTTTTGCAAGTATACTCCGATTTGCGGCAGTTGCGAGTGAGTATTATAGCTATGATTTCTTCTCCACTTATGAAGTTGGCCGTTTCACAGGACTGTCTTTAAGCCGCCCCAGGAGCTGCAGACGTACATCGACAAGAGGGCTGCCCAGCGACGCGATGGGAAAGTTCGGGTGAAGTTTGCTTAGCTGAGCATTCAGCTCTTTCTTTTCTTTAGTTTTACATCTCATTTCACTCGCCTTTGCAGGCAGACAAGGCCCTTCCCAAGCCACCCAATTAAAGCAACGCGGGATGGCGCGGCAGCCGCATGACTAGACCGCAACGCACGTGCGTGCCACATAAATTCGCAGATTTCCACATGTCAGACACTTGACGGCGACGCCATTTTATGAAATCTTCATTAAATCAACTTTCAGGCGATTGCACAGACGCGCTGCGGATGGCACGGCTCCTGCCTCAGCATACTTTACGGGCCTCAGCGCAAATATTTTGTTTTTTCTTTCATTTTTTTGCTTTTCATTAAAATTTACGCATTATCGCATAAATACTTATGTACATGCCCGGCCGCCTGCTATCTCCAGCCCCTCTCCAGCTCTGTATCCTGTGGCCTCGCTGCTCGGCTCCTTCTCATATTCCCCTCCCTGGCGAACTTTGGCCAATTTTTGCCAATTAACAGAGGCGCAATCTCACGTACATCGGCCATGCGTTTGTCGCATTTTCATTTCGCCAGCGGTTGGCGGCGTGGCCTGATGCTGTTGCCGAGGCTCCGTTGTTTGGGTTTCAATTTCGCGTTCGTTTTTATAGGCTTACGGGCAGCGTAAGCCGCGGCGTTGCCATATCGCCCAGCCCACAGGCGCGTATCAGTGGCAGTCGTTAAAATGCTTGTCATAATTCCGCTTATATGCATGTGACATTTAGCGGCGATGGCCATTCAAGATTCCCATCGGGGCGCACTGGAGTACGGCATTTATGGGCTGATACGGGGCGTGGAGTGCGGGGAGTGCGGAGAGTGCGACCACCCAAAGGCAATTATTTTAAACTGTGGGGTGACTGTGTAAAATATTAACACCACCTACGCACAGTGAGGCAAAAATATAAAATTATTCTTATTTTTTTTAGTTTTTGAATTGGAAAATATTAAAGATGTATTATAATCCAAAAAATTTTAGTTTATTTATGATGCATTATTATAAAATATACACAGAAATTCTCAAATTGCATTTGATGACCACTGTGCACTGTGGATTCGTCATAAGTAAGCCGCTTGGTCTGCATATTTCAATTTATTTTTCTCACTCAGTAATTTCCTTTGTTGAAATTTGCCTGGGCGTACATTGCGTATGCGTAATGCAATGTTATATACATTCTTGTTCTCTCTGTTTTTGTCGCTTGGCATGCCAAATATTTGCGCGGCTCTGGGCCATAACCTTGCCAAAGAGGCAGTCAGGTAGTCAGGAGGCCAGCAGCTGGTAATTGTCAATGGCGTTGGCGTCACTTTGGCTTTGACGTCGCTCTCGCCGCTGCCCCCGTACGCCGTTACTCCGTTACAGTTGGCTCTTTGGCGTTGGCGTTGGCGTGGCCGTTGCTGGCGCACGTTTCGATTTGCAGTCAATGAATGCGCCCGTAAGTCGTGAAACACTTTTTTGCACTTGCATTTGGCTTTGGCTTTGGCTTTTTAATTTGCATTTAGAGTTGGCGACCACCCACGCTGCCTTTGGCTGCCTTTGCTGCTGGCTGCTGACTGCCGCCTTCTGCTGACTCAGTTTCCATTCATAAACTCGGAAAAGTTGTTCAGGTGTTGATTGCCGCATTTGGGCTGCAAAGTGCAAGCGGATCGAACATTTTTATTTTTGGCAAAAGTTCAAGCAAGATACGTGCCCGCAAGACCTGCCACCTGCCCCGCCCACCGCTGTCAGTCAATCAGTCTGTAGTTAAATTCAATTGGGCATTGCGAAATCTATTTTTCTTAATTGCATGCCTGGCACTTTTGTTAAGTGACAAAACATTTATCAGGGCTGCCTTGTGCCTGCTGCTTGCTTTTATTGCTTGTTAATTGCCCAGCAGAAACACAAACACCACGCCCACTGTCGCTCGACAGCCACGCCCATGGCATGCAGTGCACCTGACCAAGAACATCGTCTCGGTCCCTTCTGGAGCTCTGTTTAACTTTGCTGCAAAGCGCTTGGTGGTCAGCCCAGCCCAGCGCCAGCTCGAACAGAGATGCAAGCTGGAGAGGAGCTGCAGAGAATATCGGGCTGGCTTCATTCTTTCAATCGTAGCACTCGTGCGTGACTGAGCTGCTGGCGTGCCTGTCACGAGCTCACGAGCTGCTCACGTGCGCATCTCCAATGTAAATATTTGCTGGCAGACGCTGTTATTACCTACCTGTCCGGCCTGCACTGTGGACTGTGGGCGGCAGCCAGTGCACTGCGCCATTGGCTGTAGGCGTGGCAAATATCGTTGTAAGTACAACACATTGCACATTTGCTTGGCCTGTGTGTGCGTCCCACAAAATGGTGACAAATAGCTGGAATGGCAATGTGGGCGTGTGTGTGTGTGCGTGTGTGTGCGTGTGCGCCCTTGACTGCATTGCTAATTGTATCTCTAGCTGTTGTCTGCTACTGTTGCTGCACTTTATGCGCTATGAGATTTATGCGCTATGGCAGGAAGCTCTTGATTAATTGAACTTTAATGAAAAGATTTATGTGGCTGCAATATTAAAACGCCCAACAGCACCACATTTTGGTATCAAGTTAATTGCTTTAATTGTTTTGAAAACTCTGGCAAGATAGCTGAACCTTAATTTCAATCTCTTTTTCCCAAGGTTGCCAAAGAAGTTGTAGAGTAAAGCTTTTATAGTAATTTTCTCTATTAATTAAATGCCGCAAAACATGTATCTATATTTATAACTGAATGATAGCAGGCGTGGCAGTCCCCACACATCGGGGAGGGGTAGGGGTAGGGATAGGGATAGGGTTCAGAGAAAACCAATGTTATTGAACTCCGACAAATATTACTTAGAAATACTCCAATGCGATCAATTTCTCATATCACAAGTTGTCGAAATAAATTCTTAGCTTGATTTATTTTGGCTGCCGCCTTCGCTTAGCTTTCTTTCCACGGAATCTCGTCGCATCCATCACGGAGCTATCGAATGCGCTAATGCGTGTTTGTTATTCAAGCCGCAATGCTGAAATGCAGCGCCGGCTTAGCCATAATTCATTCAATTTAATCGCTTGTGAATGACAATTCTATAACTCATTATGTGCGCCTGCTCCACATTAGACAATGTCTTGGACGAGCCATTGAAATGCGCGCAGCTAATTGATATTCTTCAACGATAATCATGGAAATTTATGCCACAATATGTAAAATATTTCTTCAACGGCGGCGTCATTCTCATTGTTTCTTCAAGCGCTTACAACAAATTGCAATTGCAGCAGTTTCTGCATATTAATTCTCACAGTGCTGACGTAGACAAGTTGTTTGTTGCTATTGCTATTGCTGTTGTTGTTGTTGTTTTTGTTGTGGCTGTTGCCGGCACGAGCTGCTGTTGCTGTTGCTGTCGTGTCTCGCATTGTTTCTGCTGTTGCCGTCTGCTGCTGCTGCTGCTGCTGTTGGTAATGTTGCTGGCGTAGCAGCCACTTGAGCGCCGCTTCTGACAACTGTAACAATGCACTTTCAAATGATAATTGTTACAACTTTTATCGCTGATATTGCTGGCAACTGTTGCCACCGCTGCTGCAGCAACATTGTGGCCAGCCTTTGGTTTGCAGTTGTTATTGTTATGATTATTGCATGGTTAGTGCCATTTTACTTTTTACTGCATCTGCGCTGCTTTCTTCTTCTGCTCGTCTTTAATGCCTTCAATAGGACAAACCCAATTGGGCGCAGTGGCATGCAAACTAGATGCCCGTCGCTCGTTCGTGGCTCAGAGTTCGCATCCCGTTCCAGCAATTGGTCTGGCAATTGTTTACGTGCCGTTGACAGCGGCGCAGGCCCTAACAAATATTCATGTTGGGGCGGCATTTGTTTGTTGTTCTTTCCCGTTGCAATATTGTCAGAGCCTGTAAAAACACAAGCAGCAACCACATTTTGTTTGCACAAGCCTGCCCCAGACATGAGGACTGGGCCACGGGGGCGTGAGGGCGTGGGGCATGGCCCTAGCCAATGCTGCCGACCCGTCGATCAGACGACCAAACGTGGCGCTTGAACACGATTTTTCCTGTTTCAACTTTTTTGCTGCTGTCATTTCTGTTAGCCACGTTTATTGTTTGCGGCTGCATAATATATTTGGGCATTCATGTTTTACCTATTCACATTTTGATTTTTATTGATTCTCGATTTCGTTCATTGTGGCTGCCCAATTTTGGTTAGTGCGGCTGGCCAAAATCAATTTCATTTATTAGATGAAATGCTGGCAAATTATGTGAGTTCAACGCCAGGGGGCAGGGGGCACAGCCAAGGGGCCAGCACTGATTTCTCAATGGCCCACGTGTGCAGGGCGGCAAACTTTATCTGTTCAGCTATGGCAAAGCTAAAAACTATTTTCAGTGCGCTGCTGGCACATGTGAATGTTAAATATTTGCCAAAGTAGCGGCTTCAGGCCTTGAACTTCCAGCTAATAAATATTTCAATCCACGCTGTACTTGATAGTTTATCCCAAAGTTTCTGAACATCATCAAATACCTCGCTCGCGCTGTTGTGTAAAATGTAAATAATATTTCTTGATTACATTTTGGCTGATTTCGTATGCATGGCGCTTAGCTGATGCCAGCTAATTGACACTTAACATGGCTTGGAGTATTTTCGAGTTAATTGTGTGTCGACATCAGCAGCAGCCGCAGACGCAGCCCCTCTCCCACGACTCCAGCACGCCACTCAGTCCACCTGGCTCCACTCCACAGCCCGCTGGCTGACTCTATTCGTACACATGTTAGTATTTAAATTGCCTTGTCGTCTGTTGTTGTCAATGTTGGCTGCGGCTGCTATTGCGCCTGACATTTTATCGATACACCTGCGAAATGCTTGCCGCCACGCATCGAGCTGCCACATGCAAATAAACTGCATAGAAACTGATTTCAAAACAAAAGCCAAAAATCAGACCAGCAAACTCTCGACTATCCACTCTTCACTCTCCGCTCTTGACTGCGTTTGTGGTCGCTATAACAACAAGAACAACATTTTG